TACCAGCAGACTGTTCTGTTCTAACTTATATCATCATTTATTTATCTGGCAAATCATTCACATGAGCACATGATAAAAACTCCTATGCAATTTTATAGTAAACAAACTGATAAAAACCTGAAATAACTTAAGACTACTTTGGGATTACTTATGAGGGATAAGCATGTATTCTTCTTACCCCTTAATTGTTGAAAGAAGGTCATAGAAAAGGAATAGCATACCCACCAAAAAGCCTCAGCCCAATTATAATCAAGTTTTAAAACCTAAAATTGGCACAACCAGTACAAAAATAAGTCAACAGAGATTTTGCTAATAAGATAATCCTATTAAAAGGTGGTAATCTTAACAATATGCCACATCATATTTATTTTAATGACAATCAATAACCTCACAACATTTGACAAATTTAGGAAAATAAAACCTCAAACCAAAACAAAAAACATTGAGGATCTGTAACATCAAAACTTTCCCACAAACAACTGAGGTCTTTTCTACAAAAACTGTAAGCCACGAAAATGTTACTCAAGAACCATTCAGTTTCTTGCAAAGTCACCAGCAGGAAGGCACCCACTTTTTGGCCATTTGAATTTCTAAGCCGCCCTCTCCCCGCCTTGACTTTGCTAACTGCTGGTGTGATACTCTGGGCATTTAAAGGTGACATCAATTTTCTCAAGGCATATATAGAATCAGGATGTAGCTGCAAACCACTGTCTATTGCTCTCAATGAAGAACCTTGAGTTTTCTACACCTAGAGTGAAGACAATTTATTGAAAAATCTTTAACTCTCTACAGTCTAACCACCTACGCTTGATGAGACTTGACATCTGACCCTACATTTGTACTGAGTGGCATTTTCATAAGCCTTAATATCAGTAACAAGACAATCTCCTCTAGCTGAGGGATGCCAGTAAACCCCAGGGGAGGTGAAATTTGAGATTTCAGATAAAACATCAAGACCATTAAGTCAATCATCTATTCTTACATGGTTTGGATACAGTGGTCTGATCCAAAAACATAAAAAATTTGCACCAGAATTCTGTAAATTGTTCTTGAATTAAGACTTTCCAGTTTCCTCATTTACACAGTGATTCGTATCAGGATATTATCTCCTTCACATTCCAGCCTTCAAGTTCTACCAACATCCTCAAGAGTAAATTGAGTGAAATGACCAAGTCTGTATAACATCTCCCTGCTTCAAGATCAGTAACCCTCACCTACTCAGGCAGACTGAATAGCAATGGCACATGACCACAGTTTCACAGATATGGAACAATCTCACCAACCTCTACCGTGGGTGTGCTGTTAATGCATGGTGCAGCCTGGCATCCATTCCCCCAGCTTGGAGGAGGAAGGCCTGCCTGCTCCCGAGGCTTACATTCCCTCAAGCACCACAGAATGACACACCCCATCCTGTTAGACTTCACTGCTTCCTCCTGCTACTGACAGGCGAGGGGGCACTGCAGGTACAGAGAATAATCCTTCCCCAGCTTGGATTAGGGTTGGTGCAAGTGGCAGATCACAGCTCTAAGACCCTTCTGGTCTTACTTGTAGGAGAGAATGCAGCATACAATTGACATGTGGGAGGGGAGGGGGAGGTCCTCACAATACAGGCTTCTTGGAAATTAAGGGTATTAGTAACACACAAGTTTACGATTACTGTCTTTATCAACAAAATGCCCTATGATCACTGATCCCAAGAAAAGAGTCTAACTGTTAAAATGATCTGATGTGTAAACTCATTAAGAAAGATTATTTTTGTCTTCCTTGGTCAGCATTTTAAGAATTTTTTTCTTGTGCCATTATGTTTGTCCTTTATTATCTTCAGAACCAGGGACCACTGTCTTTTTTAAACATTACAATACAAACATGTTTCATTTCACATCAAAAAACTAAACAGAGATTACTCTTACAAATTAGAGGATTAAATTCATAAATGTTGTCTGAGGGCCAGGACAGAAGTCATATTTAAATCACTAATGCAAATCAAGCAATTGTGCAGAGCCTGACACAGTCCTGCAGTTTGACAACCGCCATCTGCAGAGGTGAGATACTTCTCTCAAAGCAGGATGTGAAGTTACAACTGTCTGCTTTGCAAGAAAATGGCTAGCCATCAAACATTCTCTGTATGAGATCACTTACAAAGCTAATCTGACTCTAATCTCACTTTTCTCCAACACAGTAGGACTACCAGACAAATCAGCAGCTGATTTATTCTCTAAATCCGAAGTTTTACCGTGCAGTTATTTAAGCAAGTGAACATGAATAACACGAGCGCGACAATCTCAGGGTTTTATCACCTGCAAGGCAGACCTTCTCAGGTGGGTGGCAGAATGCTGCCTCCTTAGTGAAGTCGCTCAGTCTTGTCCAACTCTTTGCGACCCCATGGACTGTAGCCTACCAGGCTCCTCCGTCCTTGGGATTTTCCCAAGGTAAGAGTAGAAAAGAACTGCAAAGCTGTAGTGACTAAAAGCTAAAGCATGGTGTTTCGTTAGATAAGACTTCACTTTTGAATGGTCTATCACTGAGCTACTTCTCAACTAGCTTGTACAGCCCTCCACCTTAAAAGAGACAATTCTGAACATGTAAAAAATTCCAACAAGGTCATAAAACTCACATTTCCTCCATCTTTAGATATACTTAACTCTTAATGAAAATTTTCAGAGGAAAAACTTTGTGAGGCACTAAAAAAAAAAAAAAAAAAAAAAAATCACAAAACTTATCAGCGTTTTCTACCTTGGAAAGATATACATGTATATATCTTCAATAGATCATTTTCAATAGTTTCTCTGCCAATTTAACACTGTTGAGAAAAAAAAAACACATTAAGAATGTTGAGCAGCTAGTTTATTCCTGAAGAATGAAAACGCACTGCTTTACTAATTTCAATGAAAAAAACGAAATGTTAAAAAAATCTGGTTTTCCAGTATAACATGTATAGAAACTATTAAGAAATAATGACTGATCTCACTGTAAATGATCCAGGTTAATCAGCACAAATTTCTTAGCACAATTTAAAAAATGATATTAAAATTAACAAGATATTGTATGAATATAAAAGTTATGGGCGACTCCACAACTAAGACTTAACTAATCTTAAAATTGTTTCTAATCCACAGCTTCCATTTTTTTTCAGCTTTCTCAAAGAAATAAAGCCCACTCTTAACTCGCCACACATGTTCCTGCGTAGACATGCAGAAGCTAATTTACAATATTTGAATGAAAAAAATTTAAGTTCTTTTCTTACAGCAAATTGTTTTAATCCGTTTCTGACCCACTGCTCACTCACATAAACCAAAGAACTATATTAACTAATATTAAGTGTGATTCTTCTAATAAATGCCAGGTACTGAATGAACAAGGTTTTCACCCACAATGGCAGTGACATTTCAGGGGCTCATTTAACGAATTTTTGAAACACTATAAAAGGAAAAAACCTTAACACAGATTAAGAAAAGATATTTTCAGAAGTTTCATTCTCATGACTTAAAAGATCTGCAAATTCTAACACCAGAGCTGTCCAATTGTTTACGCTAGACTCCATCTTTGAGCATTTACAGTCCAACAATATTTTAGAATATAAAGGCAAAAATGCAGTTAAAACTCTGCCAAATCTACATTATCCATCACTCAAGAAAGGGATCTGAATTCTTTCAAAGTTCGGAATTAGATGTTATTATTAATAGATGTGCTCTAGAATTTAGGGGTGGTGAGGGGTGATTTTATTTCAACGTCTCTCCTTAAAATCCGAACTTCATCCCTCTCCCACATCAATAGAAATCAATCGCCAGACACCTCAGGAGTTTTAGGTCAGTCAAAATTAAATATTTATTTTAACCTTTGCTCAACCACTGGACACCCCCTTCTTTCACACAAAGGGTGACTTCAATGACTGGCTGCCTGGGTTTGAAACTTGACTGTCACTAACTGTGTGACCTTGGTCAAGTGACTACACTTCTCTAGGTCTTAGTCAGGAAAAAAATAATAGCATCTACCTCATGTATTACATGAAATCTGTGTGAAGAGCTCCAAAAAATGCCTGACAACACAGTAAGCGCTTTAGAAGCGATGGCTAATATCATTTACGCGATGCAAGCAAAGTATTGGAGACAACTCATTAGAAAAGGACCCTGATGCTGGTAAAGATTGAAGGCAGGAAGAGAAGCGGACGACACAGGACGAGATGGTTGGATGGCATCACCGACTCAATGGGCATGAGTTTAAGCAAGCTCCGGGAGATGGTGAAGGCCAGGGAAGCCTGGCACGCTTAAGTCCATGGGATCGGAAAGTCTGATGCGACTAAAAGACAACAAAATGCAGTGAACGCAAAGCGCTTAACAGAGCTTGGCACATTGGAAAGATCCTAACGAAACTGTCATCACTGCCGGTTTCACGATTCAGAGGCATGTTCAGAAAAGAGCGCGGAGACTTCCCCGGGATAAAAACAACTTAAAAAGAATATCTGGGGGGGCAGGAGTAGATGGCTTTCAACATCCCCCTGCGAATGAACGTTCGTCACCAAGTAACAAGTAGCGGGGCCCTCAACCCCAGCCTCACAAAAAAATAAAAAGAAGCAGGCTAAGAAAGAAGCCCTCAAGCTTGGTGAAATCCATATCCGCATCATATTGCTTTCCAGAAGACTGAGAACCACGAAGTTCGGAAGGAGCAGTTCAGTAGGTTGGACTGGGGCCCCCAATATTCTCCAAAGATTGGTCCGGAGTGCCGGGCGCACAGGGGAACGTACCGGAAACATGGGGGTGGGGAGCGGAGTTTTCAAATTTCACGGCCAGGAGAAAGGCTGCACCCTCAAGCAATGAATGAGCGGAGCCAGGAGGGTCCGCGGGTTGGGCCAAGTGCGGAACCCCGGGCAACCTCCCTCCCGCGGCAGTGCCCGGCCCGCGGGCGAACTCGCGGGGCTCACTCGTCTTGGCGAAGCAAGCCCAACAGGCCTCCCCAATCCCCCTCCCCCGTGAGTCTCCGGAGCCGCCCGCCGCCCCCTTCACCTTCCAGCAGCCGTTGGATGATGCTGTCGATGTTGAGTTTATCTATATCCGCCATCGCCTTCCCACCGCCGACCTTCCCGCAGCGGCGCCGCCGCCGGCTCGCGCCCGGGATTCACACCTCCCTTCCCACGCCACGAGCACAGAGATGGTGGTGGCGGCGGTGGCAGAAGCCGCGGTGGGTCCCCCCCAACCGCCCCGCTCCCTGCTTCCTCCTTCTCTCCCCACTGGAACCGCGAGAAGAACAAAATGGCCGCCGACTCCTTAGCCAGCCTCGGGCGGCGCACGAATGCGCGCGGGGGAGTGCAGCGGCCCGACCGGGACTTCTTTATGGGCCATAGGGCACCCGGGAGGGGGCGGGGCCAGAACGCGGGAAGGAGGCGGGGCCAGAACGCGGGAATGGGGCGGAGACTGTTGGAACTAAATGTGCTCGCGCGCGGAATCCTTCCGCCAAACGGGCCGAGCAAATAGGCCCTCTGGCGGGAGCGTGAGTTGCAAAGTTGCATGCGGGAGTTGGGGATGGGGGAGAAGATGCAGCTGTGCACCCGAGGGTTGCGGGCTCCGCAGGACGCTGTTTACTGCGGCCAAGTGTTTGCAGACCTAGCCACGTGAAAAGCCCACGGAGGGAATTTGGATGTCCTGGAATTTCCCCTTAAGATGAATCTGTGGTAGAGGTGAACAGTGAAATAATAAAGAGAAGTAGGTTGACTCTCTTTGGCTTCAAATTTGCTAGAATTTGGGGGGAAGGGAAAGATATACTTGATGGCTAGTTTAAAAAGTCCTCTCCCAGATAAATAAAAATGTTAAGTTATTCTTTCTGAGTGGTGGAAATATGGGTATATGTATGCACATTTTTGTGCACTCTGTAACTTATATTTGGGGGAAAAATTCTTTTTAATCTACCCTCAAAGAAATTTCATCATCTCTTTCTGGATTATCTTTCTTGAACTCGCGAAGTTACATAATCATCGGAACGGTTTACCCTGATTGCAGCCAGAAAGAAGATGAGCAAGCGTGTGTAGCAGATAAAGGAGAATTCGCAGATTTCGCGCGTCGGAGCTCGAGGCCGGAAGAGAAGGGCGAGTTTGCACTCGCTGGCTTTGCGGTCGGGTCCCCAGTTCTGCAGATACCCCGGAAAACTTTGGTCAATTTCCCTTGGCTTCTCAGCCTCCCCAAATAATCTCTCCCCAGGAGATCCCTCCAAAATGTGCCACCTCCGGGGGCTGCGTGTCGTCTTCGCTGGGTTTGAAAGTGCAGTTACACTCAGCAAACACATCTGCTCTCTTGGATCCTGACCTTTTCATTTAACTGCTTTTTTCCTGCAGCGCTTCACAGTTTGCTCCCGCCAGAGAAATTAATTTTGTTTCTCAAGGCACACGAAATGCACGAATTCCCAGCCCGAAATACCATCGAGATCATTGTGCCACCCGGGCATCCAAGCTCAAAACCGGTGTTCCCCCCGGGGCCCAAGAAGTGGTGGGGCCCAGGCTCCTTCCACATGGACCCGAGGCCTCCCTACTGCTGGCTTGGAGGCGTTAAGGTTCCGAGTTCCCCCTGCTTGGAGCAGCTGCTCACTCAGCTTTCCCCAGTCACCAGCTTACCCTCCCGTGCTGTAACGCCGTTCACCAGAAGACAAACAAGTGTCATTTGTCAGCCCGGGGCACACAGCCCAGTTGGCGACATTCGAAGTTGATGCACAGCACCGTTGTGAACAGCTGGCTCTCAAGGTCATGGTGGCTCTCCCCGGAGTCCACGAGACCCTGGGCTCCTCCAAGGCGCATCATCGGAATGGCAATTAAAGCAGGAATATGAAAGACAGCGATTCATTCAGAAGACAAACATTTATGCAGCACCTCCTCTGTGCCAAGCATTGTTCCTCGGAGAGAATCAGGGGTGAACAAGAAAGACAAGGCTTTTCTCTCATGGAGAGTCATTTAGTAAGCAAGACAGACAAAAAACATAAACACAAATAAAAAATATCATCTTCTGAAGCCTGCCAGAGGAGAAAAACAAAACAAAACACTGCACTCCTTTTCTTTGTATGTGTCAAAAACGATCTCTTTGAATCCCCAAGACAATCCTAGGAAGTATGTACTATTCCTGTCACACCCATTTTACAGATGAAGTGAGACAGAGAGAGGCTAGGTTGTTTGCTTAAGGTCACACAGCTAGTAAGTTTCAGAGCTAGAGCTGGAACTTGGAACAGTCAGAAACCAAAGCCCTTGTTCATATTTAATAAATTCCCACTGCGAATCCCCAGGACCTAGTGCAACACTGGCACACACTAGGTACATAAATGTGGGACTCAGTGGAATGATCTAAAAGTCTCAGTGGATAATGAGTGCCATAAAATTTCCATAGACAAAGTAGCAGGTGTGTTCACATCTGCTGACATCATCAGGGCTGGAGGAAAACTTCTGACCGGACTGGGACCATGGGGAGGGCCTCTGTCTCCAAGCCATTCTCTGCCAGGCAACTCCCCTCCAGAGTCCACATTTGCTGAAACATGTCTAAGAGAATTAGCTAGTTCTAAGCCTGAGAGTGACATGAGCCCTCATGGCTTGAAGGGCTCCCAGAAAGCAGCAAATAACTCTGGAAGGAAAGAACAGATTCCCTTATTGGCTTTTTTCCTGCCACTGTCAACACTCAGGACTAGCAGACAAACAATTGCCAGAAAGGCTACTGTTCCAATTGGTGGAGTGTCTCTTCCCTCCTCTAGTTTGCTTATAGTGAGGAGCATGGATTAAAATATACTTTTGAGGGGATTTCCCTGGTGGTCCACTGGTTAAGACTCTTGAGGAGCCACTGCAGGAGGCACAGATTCTATCCGTAATAGGAGAATTAAGCTCCTGCATGCCATGCAGAAAGGCCAAAAAAAAAAAAAAGTTCTTTTTGAACTGTCTTCCTTGGTTCCATAGAGGTTTCATAAGGGCCTGCTGAAAATGATGGAGAGCTGGTAGAATTCACGTCCCCAAGCCCTTGAGTCAACCAAAGCAGAACGATGGCATGCAGAAAGCACTCAATCAAAATGAACTATAATCACTATTATCTATTTTAGATATTAAATTTCCATGTAAGATTTGAAGAGGGGGGGCTAAAGTGAAAATATTTGAAACTAACAGTATTCCTAAGGATACTTTAGGCTTTGAGGGGGAATCTTAGTACCTAAAGGGATTAGGCTGATAGCATGAAGGAAATAAGCTGGGTGGATGTGGATGGGTGTGTGTTCAGTCGCTCAGTCGTGTCCGACTCTTTGCAGCCCCATGGACTGTAGCCTGCCAGACTTTTCTGTCCATGGAATTTTCCAGGCAAGAATACTGGGATGGGTTGCCATTTCCTGATCCATCTTCCCGACCCAGGAATTAAACCCGCATCTCTTGCATCTCCTGCATTGATAAGTGGATTCTTTACCATGAACACCACCTAGGTAGCCCAAGCCAGGTGGATAGGGACTGTGATAAACTGAGGAGCACACACCCCAACTCTAGTCCATGGGGGCCCTGGGGACCCAGTGGGAAACTTGGGCCCATCGAGGCCAGGTCCTTTGAGTTTTCAGGAGAACTTGGGCATCTGGAGTTTGATGTGAAATGTTCCAATTTTTAAAAGTTGATCATGAACTCAAATTCCTCTAAAACACTATGTAAGGTTTCCAAAGCATATCCATGAACTACATTTGGCCCTAGGTCAACAATTCAGGATTCTGTTTTAGAACATTGGACACTGGGGGTGAATTCTTCCTCATTCCTTCCCCCAATTTGTTAAGCATTGGGATTGTTGTTAAGTGATACAAAGAAATGTTGATGCAGTTTGCCAGCAGATCTGGACCTGCCTGGATATCCTGAAAATTTTGAACAAGTTAGGAAACCATAGGAAAAAATATGCATGAAAACTGTTTGACAAAATTCATAGTTTTATTTTGATGGTCTTATCAGACAGTTTATTTTGTGTGCATGCATGCATGTTCAGTCGCTTCAATCGTGTCTGACTGTCTGCGAGCCCATGGACTGAAGCCCTCCAGGCTCCTCTGTCCATGGGATTCTCCAGGCAGGGATACTGGAGTGGGTTGCCATGCCCTCCTCCAGGGGATCTTCCCAACCCAAGGCTTGAATCCTCATATCTTATGTCTCCTGCATTGGCAGGCAGTTCTTTACCACTTTTGGGGAGGGGGCAAATGTTTACTGAGGCCTTACTCTGTGAGAGAAGCTGGAGAGGCAGCACTGAGCCAAGCAGTATAGTCTCTGTCCCCATGGAAGTCACAGTCTAGTGGAGGAGACAGAGAGGAGCAGAGAAACCAGTGTAGGAGATAATTTCAGAGAATCCAGTTTTATGCTAGAATTAGAAATGGTCATGTGATCACATGGGAGAGGGACTCAGGATTAGAGATTTGAGTCAAAATCTAAAGGGTAAGAAAGAGAAAGTTATGGGAAGAACTACATATGGGGGAAGAGTATTCTCAACTGAAGGAACAGCAAGTGCAAAGGTCCTGAGGCAGGAACAATCTTCCAGTGTTGAAAGAATGGAAAGAAGACCAGAGTGGCTGGAGTGTAGAGAGGGAGAGTGTTAGGAGGGGTCTCTAGGTTTTGGGGCAAGGAATAACATGATCTGAGTAGTTTTTTAAAATTTTGAAATAATCCTAAATTTACCGAGAAGTTGTAAAGGTAGTACAAAGATTTTCCATATTCCTTTCCACTTGGTTTGCCTTTAATGTTAACATTTTACAAAACCATGGCTTTTTTCTTTTTAAGGTAAGGAATGGATTTATTCAGAGAGATACACATTTCATAGACAGAATTTGGTCCATCTCAAAAGGCAAGAACACACTTGGGAGAAATACATACAGGGTGTGGGCCATCTCAGAAAGCAAAAGGCCCCCAAATATGGTGTGGTTAGTTTTTATGGGCTGGGCAATTTCACAGGCTAATGAGTGGGAGGATTATTCCAACTATTTTGGGGAAGGGGTGGAGATTTCCAGGAATTGGGCCACTGCCCACTTTTTTTCAAATTAATTTTTTTTGGAGTATAGTTGCTTTATAATGTTGTGTTGGTTTCTGATATCATGGCTTTGCCCTTAATTTTTCAAGATATTTAAATAATAAAGAAATGGATCATAATACATCATGTAACGTTATTACCCAGAGAGCATCTTCTCCTAAATAAGGTCTAATTTCATTTTTAAGAGATCCCTTTGGTGTCTGTGAGGAGAACAGACCATAGGAGTGGAAGCTCTGAGATCAAGGAAAAGATGATGAAAAATGTGGCATCACTCACTGCTCTGAGCCTCAGTTTCCCCATCTACAAAATGGGAACGATATCACCCATCTCAGAAGGTTGTTGTAAGGGACTTCCCTTGTGGTTCTATGGCTAAGATTCTGTGCCCTCCAATGTTGGGGGCCTGGGTTCAATCTCTGTTCAGGGAACTAGTTCCCACATAATGTAACTGAGAGTTCTTGTGCTCCAACTAAAGATCCAGCCTGCATGCTGCAACTAAGAACCAGTGCAGCCAAATAAATAATTTTTTTTTTTAAAGAAGGCTGTTATGGGCATGTACCTTCCCCTGTACCTCGGGAGATAATAGTTATAATGAGGACAATGATGATAATGATAATAATAATAATAGCTAGCATTTATTTAGTGCTTACTGTGTGCCAATTTCTGTTTTTCAGGCCCTTCATGCAGAATCAGGAGAGCAGATTCTTTGGGATGCTCCCAGAAGCCTTCAAGAAAGGGAGATTAAGATGGATCTTTCAAACCATCTTTGGCCCTCATAGAGTCCATGTTGATGTTGGATGTTTCTGTGTTTGAGAAGGCTCCAAATATATTTCCATCTGGACTTACCCAACACAGAAATTAGGGTGATTATCGCCTTGCTAAATGTTCTTTAGCTTCACAAAATGACTCACTCTGGGTTGGGAAAGTAGCAAGTTATCCCGGTATTTGGAGGGTGGTTGACACTGTTGATTGGAACTATGTCTGGCAAGAGTAAGGTCACTTTGGAGTAGAGTCTCTCAGCCTGGACACAGCTGACCTTCCGGGTCAAATCATTCTCTGTTGTGGGGTTGTCCTGTGCACTTCGGATGTTCAGTGACATACCTGACCTCTATCCACCAGATACCAGAAGCACACCCCCTCTCCACAACAGTAACATTCAAAAATATTTCCAGGCACTGCCAAACATCACCCTCCCACTCCTAGATGAGAACCACCACTTTGCAGCATCTGGGGCCTGTGGCAAAGTGACTTTGAAGTTGTTTTGTTCTTCTGTCAGTTTTTAAAAAATATATATTTATTTATCTACTTGACTGTGTCGAATCTTAGTTGCGGCATGCGGGGTTCTTTATTTCTTTCCGGGCCTTTCACTGTGGCACATGGACTCCCTACTTGTAGCTTGTGGGTTTAATTGCTCCTCGGCATGTGGGATCTTAGTTCCCCAATGAGGAATCAAACCTATGTTCCCTGTATTGCAAGGCAGATTGTTAACCATGGGACCACCAGGGAAGTCCTCTTCTATCAGTTTTAATCCTATGTGTTAAATGCTTTGCCAGAGTAGCCCCTCAACTGCTAATACTAATAGAGTTTGGGGCTTCCTAGGTGGTTCAGTGGTAAAGGATCCGTCTGCTAATACAGGAGACACAAGTTCCATCCCTGGGTCTGAAGATCCCCTGGCGAAGGAATTGACAACCCACTCCAGTATTT